GGGTGTCATGGTGATCCTGATGCCGTAGGTTTTCCATCCTATAAAGCTTTTGTGCTTTTTGGATGGTATCAGTTCAGTTCCTTGTGTATGTGGGGGGGGGGTCTTCTTTGTGATCGAAATACAACAGCATGTCTCCTGAAATTAGTCTTTTTTGTCCACACTATGTCCAAAAAAATTCATTTATTTCAAACAGAACAAGGTTGTATCTTCTTATTCTCACTATTTGTACAGTTCTCCCTGTCTCCCACATTGTTTAGATAATCCTTGTTCTTATATTGGTTGTTGCTCTGTTTTCCTGAAGAGGCATCGGCTTGTAGTGTCAGTTATCATTTAAAGCCCATATACCTTATTATAGTTTTCGGACAAACCAATCTATGCATTCTACTCGAGTCATATGTTGACCTTGTTAGTTATTCGCTTACCAGTCATCATTGTTTTTATATGAGCCATATGTGTGTACACTTCCCATTCCATTCATCTCATGTCTGTAGCTTATTTTTGTCTGCTTATAAATAGTGATTAACGCCTGACTAAAAATGAGCTGGCTTACCACCCATCTCCACTCTGCGTCACTTCTCTTCCTTCCATTCCATTCATCTCATATACAAAATATATGTATTCAAAATCCCATTCTCGTTATTTGACTCGTTTAATTCCGTTATTGGCTAACGTGATTTAAGTCGACGATTATATACGAAAATAGGCGATAACAAACATTCGTACGATCTAAATAGGGGTCAGATCCACGGGCCACTAAAGGCCTCGTGACTTTGTAAGCATCTCGCCTTTCACCATGAAGCATCAAAACTGTTTATATGGAAACACTTCAACTCCCAAATCTGAATTTAGTGCGTTTCTCCGATTCATATTTTGCAATGGATTCCATTTTTATAAAGTGAGGTTGCTAATTCTACACCCAACCCTCCCCCTTTACACGTTCTTGGGAAGAACATTAGCTCCAGAAGGCCTCCTAGTTGAGTAATAGTATAGATAAACTGAGAAATATTATGACATCATTGAGTTGGAATCTCTGTAGCCCATTTTCATCTTCTCTACATTTTTCGAGTGTCCATTGTTTTCTCATCTTCCTGTTGAATACCTCTATATAGAGGATTTAATTTCATAAATCAGTGAATGATATCAAAATATAAACAATTTTTAGATGAATTTCAATTAGGATCATCTTTGTTAGATATTTTTGTGTGTAAATAGAAACCAATTCAAAATCAGATTGATAAATCTTCCGTGTACAAGCACTGGATAAATATACCTAATATTTGTCTTGCGTTTTGATTTTTTATACAACATGTGTATTCCGAAACGGACTGGAGATTTACTGTACTGTTGCCCTAAATTTTGTCAGAGAACTTTAGATTTTTACTCTTTTTTGGTCGATAAATATGTTACCTGAATTTTTACGTAAAGGTACCAATAACATTGTTTTTGTAAACCACTCCTCAATACTTGTTAAAAAAAGACTAATTCTGAATTTCAATGAGTTTAAGTAGAATGAAATATGCCCATGTGATTTTCATCTGTTTTTGATACGTGCTTTCAGCCCTCACTACTTATAAAACCTTGGAAACAGTGGTGAGATATTTATGGTTAGTTTTCTTCCTTTTGCTGAAACTAAAGAATATAATAACAAGAAATAAATTGTATATGTATGTCATTTTTCAAGTGATTCTGGAAGTAAGAAACTGCTTTATAAAAGTTCCACCCAGCATCTTATAAATTTTGGTTACATAAAGGAAACTAGAAAATTGATGAATTTATAAGTAAAAAATAACGAGGACTTCGAAATGTTCCACTGCCAATTCAGTCCTGCAGTAAACACAGACCATGGGCTTAATCAGTCAGCTCTGATGACTCAGAATAAACGACACGTTATAAAAATAATAGAACGGACAGATAACATTCCATACATATATTTCAGTAACATTCTGGTTATCCTCGAGCAGAATGAGACTCTAATAATGTTTTCTCAGAATCGAATGCTAACCTTCAAGAGGTTAATCTGTGCCCAAACAAAGACATAGACACAGATATGCCCATAGTACTAATTCAGAAACCTGCTACATTTAGTTGAGGTCATTAGTAAGCTAGATAATCACCTAGAATTTGAATTGTATACTCTGATAAACTTATAATAACCATTTTCTTTTAAAATTAAGAAGGTTGAAAATACCGCCAGTAATCGAAAACTAAACTACATAACTTAATAGATATACGGGCAGGCGTAAAATAACACAGAAGAAATAGCGTCATTTTAATTTAGTGTAACAGGATGAGAAAAAACGATTACATTGCTACGTCAATTGAACACTTAACAAATACAAGACTAGTAATATACAGGAAAATCTATGGTTGAATAAGTTAAATAAATACAAACTTTCCTATTTAAGATTCTGGCGCACCATTACTTTAAGAAACAAAGTTATAATTGACAATTAAACAACCAATATTCTTAATAAGGCCCACAAATATTATAGTAAAGCAAATGTTTTCCTAGTGAATAATTCGATTCACTTGAACTACAAGTTATTAGCTTCGTACTATATAACTAACTGCCTCATTACTCACAGGTGAGTTATTATTAGAAGTTTTTGACATATATTTCAAGTACATTTTTGGAAAATACAGACTATTCACAAGTGAAATTAACCTACTGTATAACATACTGGTAAAACAGGTCACTCTAAGAAAAGCTAATCAAAATGTGTCGCTTCATGAAAATGTATATAGGAGTTAGCCATCTGATAACAAATAACAATCATAACCGTTTTGTTAATTGACATTCCCCTGAAGTGAAAAATTATGAAACCAAATATTATACTTTGGAAGTAGACTAGAAGTAGAAAAGCTTAAATTTTATAAAAACCTCATAATAATGCGAAGAACTTACAAGTTGACAGTAGATACGCTTTCTAAAAAGACTCGTAATACATTCATCCCAGCTTATTTATATCTCTTTATGTCTGATTTAAACATGTGATACTAACTTATTGATTTTTAGATAACAATTCAAGTTAAGAAAGAAAATTATTATTTATCAATCTTTGATTGATATTTTAACGTCCGGAACGAAAAGTATTTTTTTATTTGTCCAAATACATTAAAATAAGTGTATACGAATTTAGATTCAAGCTAAATTTAATTAGATTTGATTTCACTAATAAAGTAGATAAGCATTAGGAATAGGTTGTAAATTTAACCTGAATTGTTTCGCTAGTATGCTTAGGGAAAATATTGATGTTTTTTATTTGAAGATTGAATTGATGCACGAGTGATAAATCAAATGAATGCGTCATAAAACACGACTTGTGTCATTTTCGTATGAATAGTAACCGTTGTTTATGCAAGCTTTTTATTATATTGACCACTGTAAAGTGAAAATAATAACCTTCTATGATGTTTCGAATTATTTGAATTATAGTACGAAATAAGAGTCCCAGAGATAACGCAATTGAATTAAGAAGTAAGACACAAGCATAAGCGAATGTACTGTATTTGGAATTCGAAATCGTGCAATCAACAAGTACAAAAGTATTATCAGTTCGTTCAAACACCACACCTTCATACTATGGGTAGTTGTTATTATTATTATAGAAACTTGTCCAATTATTTAATGAGTAGCTTCACTTTCAAACTTGTTTGACAGATTCCCCAGAGGTTCAGGTAATTCTTCATGTTTCTTTCTTCACTAAGGCCTTCAGTAATGTTTTCTCAAAAGATTTAGATCTAATGAGTCATATCCTATGGACGAATTTAGTAATCTTAATTTTACTGACGTTACTGAGGTCGATGTATAGTTTCCAACTCGACCTATGTATTCAGAAGAAAAATGTGGTGTTTTGGTCTGTCTTAGTCTTCTGATTTTCGTCTCACAAAATTCTATTAATGGATAATTACTAATTTTTTGGTCACGTTTGGTATCATCATGTAATCACTTATTAATCTCGTTACCCTTACATAATCGCCTTCTATCCTCATTGAGATTACTAATAGCCATAACACATATACTCTGCGTCAAAAAGTTTTAACATACAAATCCGCGTCACAGATTTTGTCCTTCTGACTGACTTTTTGTTTTAGTTTCCAATATTCATCGAAACTACTGTCAACCACGTTAGACCATTGTTCATAACATACAATATTAGTTATTACTTTACGCTATTTGGAGCTGATGAGTAGTCATTTAATAGAATAAACATAGATTTTATCTGAAAACCTTGTTATTCTTGCGCTGCCTAATTTCATAAAGGGAATTGGTTGCATGGAAACTAGAAAAATGATTAATTTCTTTCAGAAACTTCATTTGTTAATACCTATAACGAGAATATGTAGTATCTAACATGAGGACAAAAAGGGCTGGATGCTCTTCATTTCTACAAATTACTCAATTCCATAATTTCAGAAGTGGAACATAAACAGGCTTCTTTGCAAAACCAGTCTTACTCATCATCATGGTTAGACCAGAGGAACTGTGGATTTTTTAGCCTTTTCACTTGGACAGTTGAGTTAATCGAAAATTCGGCAAAAATTTTATTTCACATAATCAGAACTTTTTAAACGATTAATAACAGCAAATATAAAGTGAAGCATGTATATAAACATATGCCATCTGAGTAGAGATAAACGTTTCCGAAAACTATTACAAAGTTGTTCAATTCACCATAAAAAATGTCAGTTTGTTTCTTTGCTAGGTCACATATGATCGTTTTTCATATTCTCGCCAGGCTTTTTCAAGGCTGAATGGATTCGTTGCTCTAATCACCCTCCTTAAGTGCATTCTTGTCTGTCCCTCTCTCCAATGACCTAGAAACCGAATAACGATTGGTTAATAAGATAATGCGTGATGGAGAGAACAATTAATAGAGTTTGAATAGCCGAACACAATGTACTAGATTAGCAATCTACCAGCAAATAAGGTATTTTACATAGAAAAAAGAAAATCCATCAAATGTGTTAATGCCAGAATGGATTTATGACACCAGAATATGGCAGATTCAGTGAGTGAATAATACTTTTAAGTATTAAATTTTAACTACAGTGGGTATTTTGTTTAGAACGTTTACTTGACTGTTCTCTTTTATTGAATGGTAATCGTAAACTGTACTATCCTATTAATATCATACATATTATGACGCATTATTACTATTAACATTTATGCTTTTTCTCAGAACAAACTTATTACCTTTGTCTATGGCACTATTTCGTTAAACAAACTAACATAATTTAATTTACGTACATTAATTTGCGTGCTAAACCTAACAGTAAATCCATAATAGTTGAGTAGGATAGGTTGCTTATTCATTTCAACCATGTGAGCTGGTTCGTAGGTAAGGATCAAAGAGCTTATCGATCGATGCTGCTAGTGGCTCTCACAAAATAACGATTAATAACCTACAATTGTCTTTTTTTCAACAAGTTACATTGAATACCTTTCTATCTAAACAGTTGATTAAACTTAACTTAGATTTCATTTATGACATTTTGTAAATCAAATCGCCTATTCTTAATGCTCATACCATTAATGCATATGGATCTTTGTTGCCAGGTAGGATTGAAAGTCTCACTAAAAGGCTTTTGATAATCTTAAACCTCTGTTTCATTTAGTTTCTTACTCTTATCCATGAAATATTTGCAAAACCTTTGTAGCTTAGTGGTTATGTTATTCGAACGTCTATGATGACCCCAGCCCATATATAGACAATGAAATTCATTGCTCGCTCATCCGTTTATTGCGTTTGATGTCTAAATCGTTGACATCTATTAAATATATCGTATGACTAAAGACCTAAAAACTTGATGCTTTCAAACTGTACAGTAACTTTCAGTTTATTTCTTAAACTCTTTTACATAAGATATATCCCTATATCTTGTGAAATCCATATATTGTGGTTGGACAAAATATCTATTATATTTGTCGAACTAGCATAAATCTAACAATTATATTGCTTCCAGCATTGATACTTAACATAACGGAATTTAACTGGATAATATTTTTAAATGGATTAGTAAAAATCATTTCTATACGTTATGAATAATTATCACTGGTTAAAAGAATAATTCAAATCCATGAAAAAATATGCATTTGCCATCGACTGTAGTTTATAATATGATATTATATAATTTTCCATTATAACAGCGGGTCACTTAAAACTTTCCATTAGTAAACCATTTAATTCAGTCTACCAGTAATGCTCTTAATTCAATCTTTCGAATTAAAACGAAGATCCATCTCATGCATATTATCGAAGTATACGGACTAGTTAAAATTGAGGAACGATCCGTTTCAGTGTGCAGCATTGACTCACCTTAGTTTGGAAAAATAAATGAAAAGTTAACCTTAGATCTAAGCTTTTATTGATTTTGTGAACATTTGATACGATTAGCATCTATTTATCAAAGTCATTGTCTGTTGAACAGAGCCGTGCAATTAGGTGGAGAATCCCTGGTTAGGGCTTGCATGACTATCGTAACCAGTGGTTGCGGACGTCGGGTGGCAAGGACCGAAGTCGGCTGAGATGACGTAGATACTCTCATTCTTTGTCTTCCCTGAGATTTTGATACTTTCTTCGTTTTATACGAAATCTTTTCTACTATTACAGATACTGTTATTATTTATACTATCGTGGGATTCGCCTTGATAGTTTCAGCCCTCTGAATTAATATGGTGTGGCAAGTAAAACTGATGCACTAATGTGCCATGTTCTACGTTTCATATGACACACTAATATCTTTAGAATCTCTCTCCGGGTCATAGAAGTTCGAAATGTCCCATGGCTATCTCAAAATAATTTATTTCGAATCGAAAACACAATTACAGTTATGGGTGCCATTATTTGTAATGAAAAAACTACGATTAATCGTTGTTAAAAGCATTAAGAATCACACACTAATATATATACAGTGATGCGGGTTGACCAAACAGTTACATGGCTTATTCAAACTGAAAGTTATCAAGAGATCACTAATCTTAAAATAGTTTTTATTATATTTAGCTTTTGATATGCGGCCATTGAGAGCAGTGGATTATGAGTTATTTGTTTTATCCTAGTTGAGGATATCTCGACGGTACACGCTATCAATCAACAAATGGGTTGAATCTATAATTAAGATTTCTTTAAATTCTAAGAATATTTCTGTGAGATCATAGAAACAAAATATGAGTTAATTGAAGTGGGTCGAAGATTTTTAGAATGAATCAATCCAAAACTAAACGAGTTTTATTATCTGCTTTTAATAAACTCAATTAAGGCTCTAAGCCATAGAAGTTTCCTGAAGCTCAAAAACCATGTTGATTGTACTCAAAACCTAATATGTAAACACTGCAGGGGATACGTTCCAAGTCGTGAACTTAGATTGCTTTCCCATTAGTACTTATGAGCGTGTAATATCCACTGTTCCTTGGACCCATCCCTCCATTATTTAACGCTACAATCTTGTTTTATGGTAACAACAATCGATTTAGGCCATAGACTACTAATAACTATACTAGGACAGATTAATCACTGAGAACAATACATTATCAAAATTCCGTCATCATGTTAACAAACTTCTCAGGCACACCCTTCTTCAGTAGACAATCCCAGAGAACAGTCGTTTCCAGCGTACCGAAAGCGGCCATAATCTCAAGAGACACTACGATTGTTGGCTTATGATAAGTATTGGCGGTGTTCTAACATTTGATGGAGAGTGAAGATATGATCAATGCATCCTCGACCAGAACGAAAACCAACCTGCTCCTCACGAATCAATCATTCTCGGGTTTTGAAAAATCTACGAAGCCTGACGGAAGCCAATAGTATGGACGCTTTCAAAAGTAGACTCATCCCATGATAGTTGTTACAAAAAGACGTGAACCCTTTCTAAAGACAGGAACAATTATCTACTCATTCCATGATATTGAAACACTCTAACTGTCAGACCTTTGTAAACAACTAAGTCAGTTCCTTAGCCAGAAATTCACAGTCATCTTTAAAAAGGATCGAAGATAAGTCATCTGAACCTGGTGATTTGTGGCGTTCAGAAATTGGAGCTTCTTGCGGACTTCCGTCTCGTTAGGTGGATCAGTCATCACAGGCCACTGAGGGTAGGGCAGTCTGATATATGTTGCTGGTGAAGCAGACCGGTTGAACTGCTCCTCGAAAAACACTGCCCATCATGCAAGACATCGATAGATGTTAGTAACAGCCGTCATCTTCACAGATTGTTTCGCTCACACCGGATTCCTCGCTGCCAGTGACTCGGATGAGTTGAACGGGCTTCTAACAGTTACCAGATCCAGCTGTTGCTTCCAACTCATTGGCACACTCCGACCACCAGGCTTCTCGATACCTACGCAAGCTTTGCCCAATTTTATTGCGTAACAGTCGTCGTTTGTGGTCACGCTTGCGGCCACTCGTAACAGACTGGCGGGCTCCAGTGGGTTTTAATGAACCTGAAGAAACCCAGTGCTTAAGAGCGAGACATTTCGCGAAGCCGCAAGCGACTTTGCTCGTCATTTTCATGACGTCATGTTTTTGGAACCAATGCTCGTCTATACTTTTCGGTAGGCAGACATCTAGCCTTGAGCCAACCTCATTTTTATATTTAGTTGCAACAGAAGCTGCTAACAATTTACTGATATCGATCCATTTACGGCGATAAATTTGTTGGCCACCGAAACATGAGGTAAGATTAGCGCAAACAACGGCATGGTCAGAGTCCGGATAGCTACTCCGAAAGGGGCGGCAGTCTTGTACACAACCACGCCAGTAGTAACCTGTCGCGATGTGATCAATCTGAGTTCAGGTTTGAGATGCAGAGGGGGGACAGCAGGTCGCAAATCGGCGATGACTGTGCCGATAGTTAGTGCTAGCCGGAAACAGGTTGTAGTCTGCACTATGTTGCAGTAGACGGTCACCGTTATCTGACCTGCAATCAACAAGTTCCCATCAGCCAACTAAACGACTCTCTTCTGTGTCTAGACGCTCGACCTGAGTATTCAGGTCTCCGGCTAGTACCACAATATCTTTCGAACGCACTTTCTATGGAAGAACAATTCACTGGTGGTAGAACTCACCCTTGATCGCATCCGAGCTGCAATCCGTTGGGGGCGTAGACGATGACAAAAAGACATAGTTTCTCACACTGATTTCTTCGCACTATGATGGAGCTTTCTATTCTAACAGCACATAACCGACTGTTAATAAGGATGCAATCGGTCAGTGCTTTTTCAGTGCATAGTGCGGCACCAACGCCAGTAAAACCAGACGAAGATGCCACCGTGTCCCCAGATAAGCGCATGTGATACAAGCATTTCGAAGCGACAGATGGAGAGCGAATTTGTAGTCCTTATTTGGGTCTTGGAAACGGATCTCGAATAGACAACGAACTTCGATGTTGAGACTCTCTAAAGACATAACCAACCCTATCTTTTGTCCGATCTGCATTAGTGTGCGAACATTGGAGGTAAGTTCGGATTGTATAAGAGGTTTCAGAAGGAATGTTTCAGTATTCGTATTCGGTTGTAGCATGCAACTTTCGACTTATTAGTAACTCGACATCGTTTTAAGGGGATAGGGTTTCCACCATAGGCGAGCGAATGTATAGGTTTAAAAATAAAATACGTAAAATGAGAATATAGGGGAATACATAAATGACGTGGTATAAAAGAAATAAAAACGAATGTTGTTAAATGATTGTGAGTGGGATTTGTCTGAATGCGGGTTGAAGCAAGAATGGTTTTTTCAGTATTAATCATCATTTGGTTTGTGTGAGGGCTGTAATACTGCACGGGTGCCAAAACTGAAGCAGGTGGTTTTATTAGGGGGCCGCACCTGGAGCATTTAACCAGAAGGTCTAATCCACAAGTTAGTGTAGTGACGTTAGGAGATACAGTCGGACGGTAGCCGGTGACCAACAATAAGTCCATACGCCATTTATTCCTTCCAAATCCTGAGGCCTATGTGCACCATTGGTTTAGAATCAAGGTTTTCCAAATCCCCTAAGTGGACCCTCTGTG